AAATCGGAAGAGTTTAGGTTCAGTTATTCAAGTTTTGTTTATACCAATCTTTGAAAAAAGTTAAAAAAAACAGCATTAAATATCTCACTATTACGGTTTCCGTTAAATTTTTATTTTTATTTTTTTTTTTAATATTTTTATGTAAATTTTTTTTTTTATTTAATATGAGAGATTTTTTCAAAAAACATCTTTAAGAAACTATTTTTATTCATAAAAAACTCCACATCTCGAGGTACATAATTTCAAATCGGTCCAGCTCGTTATATAAAAGATTTTATAATTCCAATGGAAAAACAGTACCGATTTTTTTTTTTGTATGGGGACTGTTGCAGTCTAATGTACATACATATGTTTGTAGATAATTTGGAAACAACTATCAAACAAGAAATATGTAGTTACATTATTCACATTCGCATGAATCTGGCAATGCGGAACTATTTTACGCTATTTACAATTTGATGGAATCCATTTGTAGTTTGGAGAAGCAGGTACGATAGTTTTTGTTTGGAGAGTGAGGCAATCTAATGTAGACAGATATGAATGCATACGTATATGTATACAGTAGGTACTCGTTAACTTTTCCTTGAGAAGTGCATACTACAATCGATAGAATCGATCTTGTCCAACCAATTTCTCATTTGTTCTACTAGCGGTCGCCCTGCTGCCGTTCGGAGTCGGCGTTTAAATGTGGATTGCTCCGTTTGTGTAACATCTAGATGCACGCCACAAATGGAAGGAGAAACTCGGCCAAGTACAGGGCAAAATTTTTAAGTCCCAAATATTTTTATAAGCATCTTTCATGGAAACTTTAGACTAGGTAAAGTACTGATCCCCAGTTTCACCAGTAAATTTTAAAATTGATCAGACTCTTAAAATTGAAAACGACAAATTTTCCGAACACAATTGTGTCATTTTAAATATTAACAGGCTGATAAATTTAAAATTGATTGGTTCAACCGGACATGAGTGTCAGCTGTTAAAAGGTTCTATAACATCCGGGGCTTTAATTGTCGAAACAATTTCTACAACCTCAGCTTTGGGAGTTTGCTCTGTGGCAGCACGAACTGCTGTAATATAAATCATGATAAAAATATAGTAAGGTAGAACCGCTGAGAGTCACTTTTAAAATTCATGACGTTTCCAAACAATTTAATTTTTAAATTTACTCTCAAACTCACACTCACATTTTCATTTTCTATCTCAAGCAACAACAATTTCGAACAATTTCAAATTTTTTATATGATTTTAAAATGTTGGCAAACTTCAAAATAAATCATGGCCGACAAATTGAGAGAACGGTTCTACCTTGCTATGTTTTTATCATGATATAAATAAGGGTGGTGCTCCTTCGCTGGGTGTATTTTAGACCCTTCTTGGGTACCTGTTGCTGATTGTCGTAGCGTCGAAGTTGCATTCAGTATTCATGGGGATTTATGGTTGGGATTTTTGTGACATGGAGTTCTATGCCCAACTCCAACATAATTTCTCCCGTCTAGGTAGCGAATGAAATAGTNTCTATGCCCAACTCCAACATAATTTCTCCCGTCTAGGTAGCGAATGTCACGACCATGGAATTCGAGGCGGAGATTTGTGAAATAGCCGAGGTGGTTGAACATATCGATATCGTTGCGTGTTGCCATTATGTAGCAGGAATTGCTTGCAACGAGGGTTGTGGTTACCGAGTACGCACTGTACGTACACACTAATACATACTTGGTTTGCATAAAAAAAAAATAGTTAGGGGATTCCCTTAAGCTCGAAAGTGGCTCGAAAACCACGAAACCTCGAAACTTTTCCAGCCTCGAAAAACAACTGTCAAAAATTGTATGAGTGGCGATTTTCGCGTGCCTCGAAAACTTTCGAGGCAAATTAGTCGCGAAAAAAGCCTCGAAAAGTCGTTCGTAAGTTTCAGTGTTGCCTTTATATCCTTTTGATCAATAAATTCATACAATTTACATTTTTCACTTTTTCGTGGCATTTTCAATGCTGATTTTATATGTATTTATTTCAGCTGATGCGATGTATTATACAAAAAACTCTGAATGAGCTGTCAAACTTCGGAATTTCTCCATTGTTTACGAGGCTGAAAAAAGGTGCATTCCCAAAAACAGCCTCGAAAACTTTCGAGGTTTTCGAGTTTTCTGCTCTTCGCGTTTAAGGGAATCCCCTAAGTGTAAACGAACGCATTTACCTTTTATTTGGTGCATGAGTGCAAAGTTATAGAGCCATGCAGTGTGTTTGTAGCCACGTAGGGGAAAGAGGACGGGGGCCACCTAACTTTCCAGTCTTTCCTATATATCGTAAGTATAGTATGGAAAGGGCGTAACTAACATCGTCGCTAAAATTCAAAAAAGCCACAACTAACTATAGTTTTTTGTTGCATAAAACGATGTGGGAACTCCATACTATACTAACGATATGTAAAAAATAGTGCCCTGAAATGCTAGCTTAATAGTTTCGAGCCCCTCCATAAATTTCATTCTGGCTACGCCGATGTGTGCATGTGTCTGTGTGTACATATACAGTCAGCGCCAAAAATATGAATACCTTGATGTTTCTTTATTTATATTTTCCATACCGAATTTTTGTTATTTTTCCAACAGCAAAAACCAGCAGAATCAAATTTTTCAATTTCATATACACTTAGGTCTTTTTTTATGCGGAACGCATGTATACTCAGAAAGCCACATAAAGTTCTTTACTTTCATACAAAAACAGAGGATGCGTTCCAGCATTTTCAAAAACCGCATAAATTCAGATACTCCATGTAAAAATTCTGAAAAACCGCATAAAAAAGCCAGTGGGGCAATATTAAGCAAAAAAAAAAACCAATTTATTTCTTCACTTCAACACTTATTATTCCATATAAAACTGAGCATTAATCAAATAAGCAGTGTTGCCATCTTTTGCTTTTCAAAAAGCACCAAAAACTTGGAAAAAAGCGTTTTAACACACTAAAAGCACCAAATTTTTTTNGTCGGCCGCTGTGGTGTAGTGGTAAGCAGTGCGCGCTTCCACTCCACAATGCCTGGGTTCAAACCCTGGTCAAAGCAACATCGCAAAAATATAGAAAAAAGGTTTTTTCTTAACAGCGGTCGTCCCTCGGCAGGCAATGGCAAACCTCCGAGTGTATTTCTGCCATGAAAAACAGCTTCTCATAAAAATACAATCGCCGTTCGGAGTCGGCGTAAAACTGTAGGTCCCTCCGCTTTGTGTGACAACATCAAGGCGCACGCCACAAGTCGGAGGAGAAGCTCGGCCAAACACTAACATATGTGTAAGCGCCAAACTATTATTATTATTAATACCGAATTAAAACTGGTAAATCTCGAGAATTAATTAGAAATGAGCAAATAATTTGATGTTTTCATTATATAACTTCAAATATCGCTAAAAACCGTGTTTTTGGCACTTTGAGGTTAGGATATCTCAAAATTCTGGTGCTAGAGCAATTGTGAGGCCAGATTTGGATTCAGCACCAAGAAACGATGTGTTTTACTCAGGTGGTAAAAAAAAATAAAATTTGTACAAATAATTAGAAAAGAAAAAAGAAATACATACCTAACTTACTTGCGTACTAGCATTTTCAACGCGAATAGAATTTAACAAGGTGGGTTTGCAACTTTAGCTTTTTATCAATCATGGTTGTACTTAAGTCCATTTAAATTTGTAGATTCTTGTAAATTCAGTGCTGCCACAGCCTTAAATATTTCAAATTATTTCAGGTTTTAACTATCTCGAAGTAATTTTAGTTCAGAAAAAAAGCACTAAAAAAGGCACTAGGCACTAAATAATTTTTTTTTAGCGTTTTAATTTTCAAAAAACACAATCTAGTGCTTAAAGCACTAAGTTGGAAACTATGCAAATAAGTAACAAAGACAATTTATTTATCAGAAGCATTGTCTCCTACAAGCTGAAAACAAGTAATAGAAACTCTCAAAAAAGCAGAATCGCCACAGCGAAAAAGGGTTTGAAAACCGCATAAATTCAAATCCGCATAAAAAACTGCATAAAAAGAAACCTAAGTGTATGCACATAGAACTCGGGAACATTTAAGAAATACATACCAAAAAACTTCATCAAAATTTAAATTTTTTCAATTTCTTTTTTATCATAGAAAAATTGTGAGCATGTAGTTTGGAACTAAATTTTTATAAAAAAAAAAAAAATAGTGTGGAAAATATATGTACATGGCCCAATGGAAAATATAAGTAATGAAATCGTCAAAACGTCATGGTATTCACATTTTTGGCGCTGACTGTACATATACCATACCTTGGAAATAGTTAACATAAAGGATAGGCATGCATATACATGTACATAGATACATTCATATGTTTATAGGAATCCTTTACTTCAACGATCTACGTACATATTACATACTTATGTACGTATGTAAATACAATGCATACGTACACACATAGGTACATAAGTATATATGCATATTAAAAATTTCAATAAATAAAGGAGAGTTTATATGAACATACATACATATGTACGTATGCACGAAATGGTCAGCCACTGTGACGTCATGTGCAAAGAGTGGCAAATTTTGTATAGCAAATTCAGTGGCGCTTTGCCCTGAGCACTGGCATACGAGAGCTTGTTCTTTGTAGTTTTGTAGCTTTACGTATGGATTGTGTATTGTACATCTGCGACAGCAAAGCCATAGCAATAGCAGGAAAGTCTGCAGCTGGCTGTTTAGTGATTGCTTTTGCTTTGTTTTCGTATTTGCGGCATTCATCACAGCCGAGAAACCAGTAATGCCAAAGCATTTTCTCCCTTATATGAAAATAAGTAAGCACACGGATTTTGCCGTCTACGTACGAATGTATGTATGTACATATGAATGCCATGATAAGCAAATGATGTTTGTTTTTATAAGATGCAAGCAAATCTGATTGATCATGGAACGAGTTAAACAAAAATTAAAGATATCGAGTTACAACCGTAAACGTTTGGTATCATCTTATATGCATGGCAACACTGTCACATTCCACTTTCCATTTTGCTTTTGCTTTGCTATCGTGAAGCAACAAATTTCGTAGCGAAGCGACAGCACTACCTTGCATGTGTCAGTTGTTATTTTACTTTTGCTGGTGTTGCTCTGCAATTTCGCAGCTAAAGTGTGACTGCAGCAAGTTGAATGCAAAATTAAAAGCATTTTAAAAGTGTTATTGTTGCATTGTGCCCATTTGTGGCATATCTAGTTTGTGTGAATATTTAATAACAAAATAAGAAGAGCAGATGAGTTCGTCCAAGAGGAAACCAAATCCCATTTGGGAGTACTTCGAAAACCTAAAAGAAGTAGGAAAAGCAGTGTGTAATATCTGCAAACAAGAGTTGAAAAATAACCGAACATTTAACTTAAAAAATCACTTGATGAAAAAACATAAAATAAATTTGATGAATGCTAATGCGAAGACGTCTAATAACAGTTCTGAAAGAAAGCAAAAAATTAAAAAACAAACGATTAAAAAAAGGTTGATTAGATCGAATGGCAAATCAGCAAATGAAAACACGGTGCCAATAAAAAAGAACCAGATTGATATATGGGAGTATTATGANGGCCTCTCTTGGAATATTTTCGGAATAAGTGCACAATTTATTAAAGAAGATGAAATCAAATCCCTTACGCTGGGCATAGTAGAGCTCAGTCCCTCAAATAATCTCACAGGAGAAATATTGAAAATATTAAATAAATATGATATAGAGTTAAAGCAGGTGATTTCAATCACTTCCGACAACGAGGCAAACATGGTCGAAATAAATTACAAAATCAAGGAAGAACCCGAACCAGCCCCGGAATATCTTGACGATACCTATTTAGATAGTATCGAAAATCTGCAGAATTCATCAAATTTTTGCGTTGCAAACATTCAAATTTCTCAGTGTGCAGCGCTCTCCGCCCATTTGTGTGCTCTGGATATCACAACAGATGCTGAAATAAAAGCCTTTTTACTAAGTTGCAGAAATTTGACGAAGTTCATTCTCCATCCATCAAATGGTTTCACAGACGTTTTTGAATTGACCAACTTTCAACTTCCTCAAATCGATTATCCCACCCATTGGGGTTCAACTTACGAGATGATTGAAGCAATGATATCTGCTAAGGAGATCTTGGCATCTGTTGACTCTGTGGAAGACAAAACTGTGGAAGAAAATTTTCACAACGACGATTCTCTTTGGGACTTTATGGAGTGTTATCATGCCGTTTTCACCCCTTTACAAGACGTTATAAAAAAATTTAAAGCAGAACATTTACATTATGGAGACTTTTACGCTCAATGGCTCAAATGTAAGATACTCACTGATAAAATAATGCAGATCAACGCCTCCAATGATATGGTAAATAAAATTGGAAAGAAAATCTTGGAAAGCATTGAAAAACGAACTTCTAAATTACTCGAGAACGAAAGCCTTAATGCGTGCTTGTATTTGGATCCTAGATTTCATCATACATTAAATTTAACTAAAAGGCAACAAGCTGTTGTTTATTTAAATCACCTTTGGGAAAAATTATGTTCCGTGGCTGATCCTTCGGAATTGGTTTCAAGGAACACTCCAGAGAAAACTGAACGTAACTTCGAAGATGAAGCGGAAGAAATGTTGAATTCGTTTTTGGCTGAAAAACTGCAAACAGCATCATGTGAGATAGCTTATCCTGATGTATACACTAAAATAGAAAGCCTACATCTTCCATTTCTGCGCAGCGACACTGATGTATTGCAATATTGGCGCGAGAAAAGGCATACCGATCCTGAACTGTGTGCATTAAGCAACATTTGTTTTGGCATTCCTGCAACGCAAGTGGGTGATGATACGATTTAAGTTTGATGATTTCTGTATGTGCTTATATATTTGTTTTCTTATTTCAACAGGTGGCTATAGAAGACACTGCCTCATCTTTGAAACACGTTTTAACAAGCAAGGGGATCAAAAATATTTACGAGACTTTAGAAGACATACTTTTAGTTAAGCTGAATTCGTCACTCTTAAACACAGCAATTGATAATTTGTCGCTATTTGAAGATGATGCTTAAGAGTATATACATACATACTTGTAAAACTAACTAAATACGCGCATACATTCATATACACAAATGTAAACACTTTACTTCTAGCATTATACTTTTTATTTAATTGTTCGCCTGTAAAAGATTCATTCCTTAATCGCCAAATATTTTGAATAAATATCCAGAAAGAAAATTTGTTTCCTTTTTTTTTGCTTGCTTTGCAACAAACCAACAACGTTAACGAAGCTCTTGCTATACCCATTTTATTTTTGCGCTGCGTCTGCTTTCAATATGGTCAGCAGTGTTGCCGTCTTCATCATATAATTCAAACGTGATAGGTATAGTACCAATTTTCTGAATACACGAATACGCGAAGTACACATTTTGATACATGACAAAGAAAAAATATACACTTTTGGGGTCAAATAAACTTAAAGAGGAATGCTTCAAACGAACTATTTTAGAATGTGATGAGCTGACTGCTTCATTTTAAATTTACTTAACATTTGCCTCTGTGGCTGTAGTATTTAATTATAACCGGTATATCATGCAATTATATTATTTGATACTTAAATGATAGACTGGTAACAGGTATAAGTGTTTACATTTGTATGCAAGTATCCGTTAAATCGGCCTAATATTCTTTTGTTGTTTTTGTAACTCGGACTTAATCCTGATCAACTGCAGTTAAATCCCAAGTTGATCCGGATCAACGCTGTCATCTGTTTATGCTCTAAGATATTTCTCTTTATTTACAGTATTATATGAATGTGAATTATAGATTTTCTTTTTGCATTGATAACAATAATAAAAACAAATATGTAGAATTATTTTAAACTTTGGCAGTTTTTTCTGATATGATTCTTTGATCCAATTTTCGCACTTTTAAGATACATTTTATTTTTGGCGTTGTGGCAACACTGCTCGACAGCTGCGCTATTTTTAATTGCTTTTGCATCCCCATTTCTCAGCCAGTGGTGTTAAAAGCTGCAAAACTTTAAATGAAATAACCCTGTGTTTACATAAGGCAAGACAATTGAAAATATGTAACAGGCTAACTTAATATTCACGCACGCCGCCAATTGATTGTCAAAAATTTCTCATGCACATGCGACTTGTATGAGACCAACTGAAATTGAACGGCGTGCGTATGAAGCTAATACTATGTTCACATATAAGTAGATTATCCTCTTTTTCGAGCTTAACTCCCTAATCTGTAATTATAAAATAATCTCGGATTTAACCAATAACTTTTCGGTGTCCAACCTGCTTTTATCGATTATTTTTGCGAAGAAGAGGGGGAAATGCCAAATGTAAAAGTAAACAAAAAAAAACGCTAGCAAGTAAAAGAGGTTTGTAAAGGTATTTTTAATAAAATATTAAGTTAAAACGTATTTAAATTGCTTTATATAGCAGAAAAAAAGTGATCACGGTGGCACCGAGACGAAACATTNCCCATTCCAACTAATGTTATTTTAGCTCATTCAACTTACATCAACTATCCCTAATTTTATCGGTTGAATTTCAACCGCTGGGCGAACACTAGTAATGNCACAAAAAATTTTACGGCTAATAATCTGAGATTTGCCTGTATAAACGGGGTGATTAAAAAACAAGCTTTGATTGAAATAATATTTAAATGTGAACACACTTTAACTCAATTTCCAATTTTTGTTTTGCGTGACATTTTGATTTGACGTTTCGCTCAATGACATCAACTGGAAACGCACGCAAGCCAATTTCGGGTGACGCAAAAGAAACAAATTCGACGGCATGCATACCAAAACGCAAGCCGCGGTTAGCCTGTAATATTATTAGGCGTCCAGCCAATAGGTTTGTTTATGTAAAAATTATTCAGTAACTGGCCAGCAATTCCGGTAACTTGATTTCTGAGAATTCGCTCTCCAAAAATGTGCGTGAACGCTAAACCAGTAATAATTTGCATGTAAAAATGTTTATTTCCTCAATTTCAACTATAAAAACCCCATAAGAAGTTTCCTGGTTTTCGACCTAAAACTTGTGTTTTCGTCCATGTAAAATCTGTAACACGAAAACCAGTTTTCACTTGAAAACTCACGTTCCACTCATTCTAATCGGTGTCAACACTTATTGTTTTCGATTATTTATCGAAGTGGAAGTCATATTTTATCATATTCAATACGCCATTTCGCCACAATCCCAAAACTCGTTTTCAAAGTGTTTCGTTGATCAGAACATGGTATTAGTTTCAATTGCATTCAGCAACATGCGACCAGCTGTTTTTCATACTGGCAAATTGTTGCAAGTAAGAATGTACCATGTACCCGTAAAAACCCGGTGAAACTTGCAAGCTCAGCTGTCATTTTCGCTCTCCCAATTCCCCTACATTGCTAGTTTTTGCGTACGGAAGCCCCAAAACATGAACATTATGAACATAATTGTAACTGGATCTTGCTGGAAAGTGGGTACAAAAGTAAAACTAATTATAAAGACAATAAACTGGGCGTTTTCACACCGAGCATGGTACTGGTACTAGGTAGTTCGGGGAGCGGTAATTTTCGAATTATCGTGGTGAAAGCTGGATAAATTTTCTGGTGGTTGGCAAACTGCAATCAGCTGTTCAATATTTATTCAATAGTAAATCCTCCCGTTGCCGAAAGGCATAACGCATATGAGTAAGTAAAATTCCTTCAATTTTCTGTTACAAAATTACCGTTGATAAAATTACCGAGTACCAACTAACAGTTTACTAGAACTACCGAAATGGGCGTGAAGAGCCTTACTATTAAGCAACCGCCGTTAAAGTATGTTTACATATAAATATAGTCTCAATCAAAGCCTCTTTTTAATCACACCGTTTATATAGGCAAATTTCATCTTATTAGCGGCCAATTTGTTGTGCATGCGTCCTCATGCGAGCGAGATTTGCCAGCGCGTGAAGAGGGCCAGTAATAGCGTGTAACCGTCTAGCTGTGTTTCATGATAGCAGTTGCTTCCCAGTACCCTGTACTTCCGGTAGTGCCATTTCAGAATAATTCCAGCAATTTGACAGCTGACATTTCTATCGCTTCCGTTTATTCTTCTTCTCTTTCTTTTTTTCTTTCTTTGACAACCAAGAATCGCCAAGATGGTACGTTTGTGGAAATTTCGTATAAAAATCTTTATAGAAATCGCGATGCATCTCAAAAATATTTATGCAAAATACACAGACTTGTGCTTTGATGGAAAATATGTATCATTTGTTATGTGTTGGTGTATTTATATCACTGATGAAACTCTCGTATCTTGCTGGATTTGTTTTTGAGATATTTCGTTGTGCAAATAAAAGTTTGTGTGAAGATTTGCTAAAAGAGGCTTTGAAATTCTTTTTTCAGGTCAATGTGCCGAAACAGCGACGCACCTTCTGCAAGAAATGCAAGTGCCACAAGCCACACAAGGTGACACAGTACAAAAAGTCCAAGGAGCGTAAAGGTGCGCAGGGAAGACGTCGTTACGACAGAAAACAACAGGGTTTCGGCGGTCAAACTAAGCCCATCTTCAGGAAGAAGGTACGAATTACAATCGAAAATACCAGTTATATTGGCATATTTGTAGAACTAAATTGCTGTTGCGTCGCTGAAGCGCGCTGCAAAGCTCTTTGGTGGGATAAATGTATGCAATATTAACGTTGAATGCTGAAAACTACTCTATAGTAACTGCTTTATGTTGCCAGTAGTTGCTGAGTTGGAACATTCACACAAGAAAAACTTTAAAATTAAATTTTTTAACTTTCCATTGCCTGAAACTGTTGACTTAACTCTTTTTATTTTCCTCATTTTCAGGCTAAGACCACCAAAAAGATTGTGCTGCGTATGGAATGCACGGAATGCAAGTACCGCAAGCAAACACCTCTAAAGCGTTGCAAGCATTTCGAGCTGGGTGGTGACAAGAAAAGGAAGGGACAGATGATCCAGTTCTAAATTACTCGCCCCCATTACCACGCTACCTTTATTTTGTTTTTCTGTTTGCTGTCAGTGCAAAGATTGAATGCGTTTTGCTATAGTGAATAGCACTACAACCAATCGCCTGTGAAAAAAATGCAAATATAGTTTAAAACAGTGTTTTATACCTAAACATTGAATTAAAAGAAAATTCAATTTAAGCATTTGTGCGTATTTTATTCTATTAGCATATTAAAATTTTACAAGGTATGTATTCATAGAACGGATTATCACAAATTGAATAGCTTAATATGTTAGTTGCAAGAAGTTTAAAGCAGGGGTTTCTTGACGCTCAAACCTATGTATTGGACAGCAACTAATCTGAAGTGACGGCGCTTAGTTTCGTGAGGTACAATCAGGCGGCAACGCCATCTGCCAACATCAAATTTGGAGTGCTTGAAAGAAATATGCAATTATAATAAAAGTTTATTAATTTTTTAGTAACTCACTCTAGTATGCTTGGTTCTACACCTTCAGCTTGCATTTTCATTTTTACTGCCTCATTGGGCACACCAAATTGCACCATTTTGAAAAACTTTTTAAAACGCACATCATCGCATGCGCGCACACCTGTGGCTTCCGGCATTTCATTGTCTATTTGGTCTTCGGCACTTGATATATCTCCAGTAGCACCTGTGGCGGGTGTGTTTTCAGTCTTTTCTGCAGTTTCACTAGGAATTTTGTCTGTTGTAATGCTATTGGCAGTAGTTGACATTGCGGTCTCTGTAACATCAGGTACAGATGAAAGCTGCATATTGAATTTGGAAATTTATTATTTTCTTCATTGCAAAGGTTACATACGACTTTTCTTACTTACCTTCGCTTCTATTATAGTTAAGGCGGCTTCGACTTTTTGCATTTTTCTTTCTAAATCTATGAATTTTGTTTCGCATTGCAATGCGAAATCATTGAGAAAATTGCAAGAGTTAATTATAAAATGGTTAATGAAGGCCAAGACGCGCTTTTGATGCAGCGGTGGCATTTGTGATTTATCTACAGTTTGTGCCAGTACCTCGGTGTCCATAATGGTTAACTGAACAAACAATTTAAATAAATTATTCGTACTAGGTATCACGCGTGTAAAATGTGTTGTCTTGCCAGTTTTTATTTCGCAAATTTGTCAACAACTTTTAGGAAAAGTAGTGAATAAATAAATGCAATAAAAATGCATTGTTTTGTTTATCAGCTGTTTGTTCAAAGTCAAATGTGACGGCGCCATCTGGTGTTAAAGTAAGTTAAACTACTTGTCAGTAAAAACTGCCTTCACAATTTACTGACGGAAATGTAAATGATGGTGTTTAACGAGTCAATTGATACAATCCATTCCACATCAAAAAGTTGTTACGAATTGTTACCAGTACATGCAAGTTTTTTACTAGAAATGCATTAAATAACCCAAAAAATTTGCAAGAGAGAGCGAATTCGTAACAATCTGAGAGAGCTGCAAATTCTTGCAAGTAAAAATTTTACTAGCTGGAATTTGCAGGTGTTAAAAAATAAAGTAATGTTACAAATTCAAATGTAAACAAAGTGTGAGGAGGATTTGGTGAAACAAAATAAGTGAAATGAAAATATGGATGAACTATTTAAATCTGATGTATATTTTTTTGGCCTTATTCATAAAAAATAAAGTAGGTTTAAAGAGCTTTAAGAAATTACGTTTTCATAAATTTTTCGGTTTATAAACCTTTATTAAAGCTACTTTATTTTTTATGAATAAGGCCTTTTGATTTTTGTGACGATGAGAAATATTCCCAATCAAAAAGGAAATTGCGCGCCAAAACTTAACGAGCGCACCTAATTTTTTTGTCAACCAAATTACGGTATAAAAGCTACACAACATCAAATTTTTTACAAGTTACTTCAGTTTTCGTATGATTTATTTAACTCTAAAGTCGTACAAATGTTGCGTCCGTAACCCAGGATATGCCCATATGTGAAAGCTACTAGGATGAAAGATGGCGAGTTTGGTTGTACCTCACTGTGACCTCGTTCGTTTCGCCACTCGCTAAGTGGTGTTGACGTCCATTGCTGCTAGCGAGCGGAACTCAAACATGCGAGCAAAGAAGTGGCGAATCGAAAGCGGCTATTGTTACCCAGGTTTATATTTACATATATTAAGCCAGGGACTGGCAATTCAGCAACGTTCCCGAAACTACTTATTTGGGGAATTTCAATGCTCTTACAATTAAAAAGATTTCTGATTTCTATTATAGGCTTCATAGAGTCTGACTCGCGAGTCATTTGTGTACGTGTTGACTCGCCTTCGACTATACACAGTTGAATCATTCAGAGTCATGCCGTGAGTCATGTTGGTGTAACTAACAGATATTTATTTTCACAAACACATCCACATCGACTCACGAGTCAGACGCACGGTGTGTACCGTCTATTACATTAGTGGCAATGAAGTGAAAGACAAAGATAACAATTTTGATGCAAAATGTCTATTAAATATTAATTCAACATAAGCCACCATCGCCCAAAATTTGGTGCAAATTGTATCCCAATCGTGTGAATGCACACATATATTTTCTTTGCTAATCACAAAAAACAATTTGTTAAAATTTTTCCAAAGAAGTTCGCTGTATTAAACCAATCGTGTGATTACAAAAAAAAATGTCGTCCCAATTTTTTTTTTTAAATTTGTACCAATAGCTCTATATAAAAAAATGAACAAATCTTTACAAATGTACCAATCATGTGACACTGCCTTTAAACATTTCTTCATAAGATATTACTTAGGGTTTACACCGGACAATACTGTCATGACAATAGCACTGGAACAATTTTGACAACTAATGCGTATATCTTCATTGTCTTGACAGCATTGTCCAATGTAAACGCGCCGTTAGTCTATCGCTTATCGATACCCGCATTGGCTATCATCTTTCCTTTCCATATTCATCATACGCACTGCTGCACCAACTGAAGATACGCACATTTGAAAGCCACAAGCAAATCAAATTAACAAATTTTTGTACACTACGAGACACGCGATAGTAGTTAAGTATTTACATGTCATAACTTGACGTGGCTGAAATACGATCTGAAAACTAGGTACAATCCCAGCAAGTAGTGAAAATTCTACTCACCTAATTAGTTATAGACATTTGCACAAGCACCCGTACATACATAATCACCCCCCAGCTACGACTATGCATTAATACCTACTCCAATTCAGTCAGTTGTTTTGCCAATTGGCAACAAACAACAAATATGGCAATTGGTCACCGCTAATCCGGAAATAATCCAATAACAACTAAGGATTAACACTATTAATTAAAGTTACCTACAAACGCAAGAGTAAACAAATACTGTTTTCTTCTTTATTTTATTTTTAAATTTACTTTTTTTTCTGGCGCCTATTTCCTAGTACTGTTGACAGATTCCGCCGCTTGGCAGGTGATACACTGTTGTTATGTGGGGCAGAATATTGGTGATTTTCCAATAGAGAAAAAAACCGTTAGATTTATACCCAAGCGCACTTGTGCACAAGAGGATTACCACTTTGTTCGCATAACGGTTGTAACGGTAACAACCTGCTCATAGATATATACATACATATATGTATGTATATACATACATATATACCAAAATGGACAGAATCGGACAATAACCACGTTCACCTCCCGTACAACGGTATTTTAGAGAAATACAAAATCTGCGATAAATTAGTAACTACTGAAGCTTATTCACTCAAAATTGATGTCTGGCGTGAAACCGCCCACTTTTGGCTACATACATATATACAGAGGTGCATCTCGGTAACCGTTCTATTTATTACCTAGTCCCAAACTCCGCATAATTATTGTACTTGACACAAAAACGCAAGATATTAAAAAATTTTGAAATCGTACTAGAATTACGCGCATTTTTCATATAACGGTAAATTTCAGAAATACAGAAGCTTCGATGTTTCTAAATTTAACGAACGGCTTGATTATTTATATTTTTAGACATCTGTATTATATAACAGATATGATAAAACAGCGGACTAGAATGTGGTCTGAGCTGGTATTGGTACACCCGACTTTTACTGATGGTAACCGCAATGCTTATCGTTCGACCTTCTGTTGAAGTTAACCTTTACTTTTTAAATCTTAAACGGGTAAGCGCATTCGAGATTAAAATTACGAGTTCAGTGTCATCGTCTCTTGGCAAGTGAATTGCAATTCAAAAGTTGATATTTCTTATTTTAAAACAACGCTGAATTTGTATGTACATAAATACCCGTACCTATCTACATATCAGTATATGTTTTGGAAAATAAATGAACATCCCGTTTACGGTACAGAAATTTCATCTTAAGCAGCATTTACATGAGGCGAGTTTGTAAGGGATTTAACATCGCCTGAAAATGTCTAGAAAAGTGAAACACAATTTACACAAGCCTAGAATAGAAAATCACCCCATGTAAATGCTGCTTTAATTTAGTCCAATCGATAATAATTTCAAACAACTTACATTAAGTAGGAAGTTAAGAGAAATGGTAAGGTAAATGAGTTCGAAGGGGTCATCGAGTGTAAGGATTATATTGTCTACGGCTCCAGCTCGGGAACATTAATCCAAAGATCGTCACAATGCTACTTTAATCGCCCTTTTCTTGACGAAACTAAGTACACAAAACACCACAGAGCATCAGCTCCCGTACAGCTGACGGCGACTATAATTTGGCCTTAAGCAACATTTTTGTGAACTTTTGTTTCGCTTGTAGGAAGACTTTTCAATCAGAAGATTGGTGGAATTGGGAGTACTATCTAAGCTGTTACGAGTGCATCTCTTCGCTTCGTGTCGAATTGAGGTGAAAGTGAATTCCTCGGCATATACCCGAAAAAGATTTTTACCGTTCAGAGTGAGGTATAAAACAAACTTTTGTCCCATGACCC